TTGTGGGGGGGGGGGGGGTTGGTGTTGGGGTTGGTTGATAAGGGTTGAAAGCATTTAGTTATACTTTTGAAGCCTTTGATATTCTACCAGATGTTTACTTGTAAAGATGATAAATCTTTCATGTAGACAAAGTTTTGTCGCCAAAAATCAAGTATTAACCATGTTTTGGTTAGTGGACATTTGGACAGTCAACATTTTTATCTATTGACCAGTACGGCGTTAAGCAATGTTATAGTCATTATTAATTGTCAGTTGTTTCCCCTTTAAGCCTTCCGAATAGTCTTCCACATATTTATAATTTTGTTCGGCAGGAATCCGGATGACTAAAATGTCAGACTACATTCTGTTTACCAAAGTATTCCTGCAATTATTTCGTCAAAGAAACTCTACAAGCTGTTCTACTTATATTAAAAGTTAAAACTGTTTGTATGACCGAAATATGTATTGTTGCCTTTTAAGTTTTTCTCTAGCACTCTGGATAATAGTATAAAGAATATCAGTTTTATTTTCAGCTTACCTCGACTGCTATTAACTGTATCCGACCTTCATTGATGTGATGGTTTTGCATGAATGCACAAACATCATTTATCTTGGCGGCCCAAGATTCTCTGCACAACATACGTTTCAAAGGAAGATCCTTAATTTTTAGAAAATAATTTCTAAATTCATGGCTTAGTTTTCTTGTCTATGATTGTGTTTATACCGGTGAATTCTATATTGTCATAGTTAATATGTTAGTGAAATGATGATAAACAGCCTATCTTTCTGACCTAATTATTTGTTTCTGCAGTGTTACTACGTTCCTTTCTGATATGTCTGGGAAAAGTCCTTTGTATAAGAAGTATGTATTTGACTTGGGATTAGTCATATCTAAGTGTTATTGTTAGTTTTAACTTGACTTTTCAGATTTCTTTGCTATATTTTTTTTCAGGGCATATGTGTTCTTCAGTTCACCTATATCGAAAGAGTTGGTGTCTCACATAAAAAATGACAGAAGTGTCTTACCTCGCATAGGTGCTTTGAGCGAGGTTAAGATGTTTGTTTATTAATATCTCCTGCATTACCAAATCTATCCCATGCCCCCAATTGACTTTCTTTGTTTAAACATTAGTAATTTACATAGCCATGTTATTTATTTCTTTGATTTTTGTTAGTTATTTTCCTTGTTTTCTGGAAACAGATGAATTTGGAATACTTTGCCATTGATAGTCAGGTATGCATTTTGCTTGTTTTATTTGTTTTTTGCGCTGCCTAATTACTTATCTGAATGTAAAATCATTCATGACTTCAGTTGCCATGGAGATATAAAAGCTCCTTATGTCTGAGAAACGAACTTTTAGCATGTAAAAAATTCTCACTTCCAGGCTTGTATCATGTAGGGTTTTGTTACTGACCATGAGAGGGCTCTGGAGGAGCTGTTCGCTGAAAATGCAGAAAATTCTCGCAAATACAATGCTTGCTTAAATACAATGGCCACTCGCATTGCTACAGTTTTTGCTTCTTTAAAGGTATGACAAAAACTTTCCTAGTACTACAGACATTGGGAAATGTACGTAAAAGATTGCAGTTTAGGAAACACACCGTTCGCTGTTCCGTGACTGTATGGGACATTTGTTTCTAGTGTTTGGCAGAATTCTGGGTAGTGTATCCTATACAGAAGTTCGGGGAACAGTGTGTATTGGTCCTATAAATTGTTACCCAGCTGCTGATATAAGGACATGATTAAAATAACCAAGTGTTTATTATGGCCTTCTTCATTTCGGGTCATCTGCCTAACATGTATAGACTCATAGCATAAGCACTTGTTAGTCATTAAGCATAATGCATGCTCAACATAAGCACCTTCGTTTGCGGAGTAAGGACTACACAGCTTTAAACTATTTACTTGCTGGACCTGTTTTCCTATGTCTGCAACCTTGGGCAGGTCAAATGGAGTTTAACAGAAGTGAATGGAGAAAGGAGATTATGGTAATCAAAGCCATTGCTTAGAGAGAGTATTCTGTTGTTCGACATTTATGTTACATTAATTTTCAAAATTTTTTACATGAGATGTCAAATATGATTCCGGAGGCAATTGAAATTTGAAGTATCTGTGGCATTCCAGGTACTCTGAGGACATGATACTTGTTGATAAACTGGTCCAAAACACATTGGAGAGTAACATATGACTAATACTAGTGCACAAAGTGATTTGAGCTAGCACTATGTAAATACCGAGATAGGAAGGAAAGAAGACTTAAAGAGTGTTGGAAGATTTGATACAAGAGACTTGAGAGTTAATCTTACTAGGATTATACTCCAACTTTGAATTTGGTCATTTGGATTTGTTTACATGAGATGTCAAATATGATTCCGGAGGCAATTGAAATTTTTTGAAGTATCTGTGGCATTCCAGGTACTCTGAGGACATGATACTTGTTGATACACTGGTCCAAAACACATTGGAGAGTAACATGTGACTAATACTAGTGCACAGAGTGATTTGAGCTAGCACTATGTAAATACCGAGATAGGAAGGAAAGAAGACTTAAGAGTGTTGGAAGATTTGATACAAGAGACTTGAGAGTTAATCTTACTAGGATTATACTCCAACTTTGAATTTGGTCATTTGGATTTGTTTGCATGATGACGTTTTGTTGGCCAGTGCATCATAACGTCATTTTGATAGATTGCAATACAAGGCACCGTATGCTATCCATTTGGAAGATACTCTTGTAGTGAGCTGGTATTATGCGTTACCCCATGTAATGTGAGTCATGATATGATTCAGATGGGCAAGTATTTTTCCTGACTAGTCACTCAGAACCGAACTAAGTGGTCGCTTGCATCATATTAGAATTTTGTATCTATGTGTGATTGATTTGAATTATATGGTGGCTTGCATTATATCCGAGTTTGTATCTTTGTGTGATTGATTTGAATTTTGGGTCACCATTTGTATTGATTTGTATTGCTTCAAATTAGGAATTTCCTTATGTGAGGTATCGTGCTGCAAAGTCTTCTTTAGATGCTTCCACTATGACAACTCTCCGTGATTTAGTCCCTACAAAGCTTGCTGCTGGAATTTGGAACTGCCTTGCTAGGTATAAAACTACCATTCCTGATTTTCCCCAGAGAGAAACATGTGAGTTACTCATTGTGGACCGCTCAGTTGACCAGGTATATCTGAAACATTCTTGTAGCTTCCAAGCTGTTTGTTTGAATGACATATGACCTATGCCACTTTATTTATGTTTTCATGTGACAGATTGCTCCTATCATCCATGAGTGGACCTATGATGCAATGTGTCATGATTTACTCAACATGGAAGGTAACAAATATGTACATGAGGTGAGTTCTAGTGATAATCTTGTAGTTGATGTTTCCATCCATTTCTTCTTTTCCTGTATTTCTAAAAGATTCAATATGGGTGCATATGAGCAGGTGCTAAGCAAATCTGGAACAGTTGAAAAGAAGGAGGTTCTTTTGGAGGACCATGATCCTATCTGGCTTGAGCTTCGGCATGCACACATAGGAGATGTATGTTTGAGTTAGTCTGATAACTTGTTCTAGTATGTATCGCTGTACTCTGAATTCTGATGTTTACTTAATAAAAATTATGTCACAGGCTAGTGAAAGATTACATGAGAAGATGGCAAACTTTGTGTCAAGGAATAAAGCAGCACAAATTCACAACTCAAGGTAATGTTGAAATAGTAAAACCTTAGCATTAGAAACATAGATATGAAATAGATAGATTTTTAGAACAACTGAATTTTAGCTATTAGGTAACTTATTTTTTGCCATATGGAGGCCACTTTTGGATCATGGTCATTTATATATATAACACAGGAAGACAATCCTCTCAAGTTTAAGTGGAGAAATGGATCTGTTTTGTTTTTTTTTTATTTCATTTTATATTACATATGTTCACAATATATGAAATTTTGGTGAAAGTGGTTTGGGCAATCTAGGCAAACACTAGCCCAAAATATAATAACCTTTAGTCTGTGACGGAAGCCTGAAACATAAACCTTGTATTTGACCCATTTACACAGGATTAGATTTGTTCCGAGATAGTCCCAATAAGTGTGTGTATATATATATATATATATATATATATATAGAGAGAGAGAGAGAGAGAGAGAGAGAGAGAGAGGTCTATTTGAAGGTAAGTGTTGGTCTGATCCTAAGTGAGCTGATGTTTGAAAGCACCTGAACATAATTTAATCTACTTTATTCCGTGGCTACTACACTGGTATGTTTGGTCTATATCCTACTGTGAGGCCAATTCACGTTTGGTTCAACCTAGAATTCCACCTTTGCCGAACGCTTTTCACTCTTAATAACTAGTATAATTAAAGATTTTATTTACTGGTTAAAATAGTAAATGAGACTGAAAATTTTATTTTAGTTAAATTAAATGCTTGCACGTGTATCATAGGAGCAGTAATTAAATAATTAAATTACTGATATGATATCAGCAAATTTTAAATATAAGTTAGGTCCATTGCAACCCAATGATTCCTAGTGTAATTTCTGTATAGAGTTTATAGACACTTCTGTAGAATCTTTACTAGTGATTTCTGAAATCTGAAAATTTTCCTTGATAGTAGATTCCTTTTCTTTCTTTTTTATAAAACCAATTACTTCTGGTGATTCTTAGGGCTTAATCCATAGTTACTTGAATGAGTTGATGTTTTGTTGCACTCAGTTAGATTACTTTCACACTTTGTCAAAGCTTAGGGCACCTCTAGTGTATAGGAATGAACTAGAACAATTTCAAATTGAATTTAAGATTGAAATTTTGGTGGGGGCCCATGGTTCAAGCCAGTTAAAGATTGTTTCTGTTTGTGCCATTCTGAAACCAACACTAGGAATTGGTTTCTTTTCAAGCAGATTTGCCATGGAACGTATTCCGCCATATTGCTCCATATTGGAAATGTAATGGACAGTGAGCAAGACAGTTTTTGCTCCTGCATGCAGCTTTAAGGTCAAATCAAACTTTTGTGGGATGAGGGGAGGAAGTTTATTTGGTAGACAACATTTCAGTTGTGAACCTGAACCCTTTGCTTTAAATTTTAAGTTAATTTAATTTGGGTTCCCATAACCAACCCATTTGACATTTTGTAAATTATGAGGGGGGCAAGACTTTTACATAGAACCCTCTAATGATATTTAGTTTAAAAAATTACTATCTTGAATATAAATTAAATACTCATTATTGTTTATTTTTATAATAAGCATGATAGTAATATGAGGGAAGATATTCTGATTCATATTTTTGAACTAAATGTATAACCGTGTCAATTAGTAGAAGTTTACCGAACTTGGTAGCTGTACTATATTATTGCATTGATGTTGAGCAAATTGTAACTTGGCTGTGCAACACTTATATTCGATTTATATTCGAGATAATAATTTTTTATCTCATCTATTCATTCGTATCCATCATCTATTCATAATTTGCAGGTAGTCTGTACGGATGTTAAAAACTGCAAAAGTTTCGAAGCAATGCAATATTTTTCTCTTCACTTAAAATTTTATTAAGAAATAAATCTGCAAGTGATGTTATTATTTTAGCATGAAATTGCTGAAACTTATGCAGGTGGATGTAGATTGAAGCTAATATGCAATAGAAGTTTTTAACCTTGACAAATGAAAAACCTTACAGAAACTGTAGCCACTGTGGTATTCGTATTTCTAAGGAAAAAAATTAAGAAGAAAATTAATATGTTCTTAGCAAAGAAAGAAAATGTTGGTATCAGATGTCTTGATGCAAGATCTACTCCAGCAATAAATGTATAATCTGCACTGGCTGTTGTTTTCGGCAAGCGCGATTTCATATTGCATGTCCCTTATGATCTTTTTTAAACAGAGACACTGGTGACCTATCGACAAGAGATTTACAAAAAATGGTGCAAGCTTTGCCACAGTATAGCGAGCAAATCGACAAGCTTTCTCTCCATGTAGAGGTCAGTTTTTTTTAATAATATCTTCAGATATCTTCTCTGCTAATCTATCAGGTTGTGAAATGTGCTTGTCAGTTGTCAAGTATCAACCCATTAGTCCATGACCACTTGCCAGTCCTTTGGAGTTCAACATTATTAATGGATAAGATATCTTCATATTCATTGCTGGCTTCAAAACTGTTGAGCTTAAGCTTTGAGGAAGTGGTCATCTCTGAAGCACGGATTCGCGCCACGGATCCGTGTCCGACTCGAATCGGACACGAATTCGTCACGACACGTGCACGACACGTGTCGGACACAAATTGACCGTGTCCGACACGGGTCAACGGTCAAATTAGGCTCGGACACGGTCAAAGGAGCTCGGACATGGCTCGGATTCGCCGAAGGCCAATTCATTCGGGTTGCAGGTTTGGTTGTTAAAATCCAACCCGAACCGTTCGATTAAAAATCTCATCCTTATTTCTCAAATCTCCTATTCGATTCGATCATCAGCTGACTCAAACGAAAGTAAAAAAAGAAAAAACTCTAAACCTAACCCTAATCCTCTCTCTCAATCTCTCAGCTCACTCCCGTTCGATTTGATCACCTCCGCTGTTCCGACCCGATCCCGCTGACCGCTCCGCTGTTCCGACCCGATCCCGCCGACCGACTCCTCCTTCCTCCGACTCCTCAAGTCCACCCTCCATTCCTCCTCCCCATCCAGCACAATCACCACCACTGTCATCATCATCTCTTCCGGTTTTTGAGTTCGAGCAGCAACCCAGCGTCATATTATTATCATAAATCTAATGGAGAAAGTTACAAATAATATATTTTAGATTGTTATTTTTTGATAGATTCATATTTTAGATTGTTAGTTGAATTTTATAAAATTTTCTATATATAATAATAATTAAAAAAATTCCTTGCCGTATCCCCGTATCCTATTTTTTTGGATTTTGTCGTATCCCGTATTCGTGTCCGTGTCATATCCGTGTCGGTGGTCATTATGACATGCTACATCAAGTCATCACGACCCGATCCTGTTATTGCTATGAAAAAGGCCAGGTTTTGGTCCAAAAAATAGGGTGGTCTGGAGGATTAGCACAAATTCTTTAATTTTCATCATAACTTCAAAATTGTGGTATAGTGATAGGGATATTTATCTGGGATTGTACCTGGTTTCAAGAAGCTCGTTCTTGTTGTTGGTAGTTTGGAGTATGTTTATTCTCATTTTTTGTCTTAGCAAAAGAGTCAATCTTTTGGAGAGTGGTGGCTTTTCCATGTGTTGAAGGCCCACATGAGAGGCAGATTTTTGGGTGAGGTGTATTCAGAGGAATCACAAAACCCATTTCTTCGTAGACTTAGTTAATAATAGTAATGGGCGATTTCCTTAATATTGGAGATTTTTATTATCTTGACGCAAATTGATTCCAATCTAACCGGTATAGGTTGCTAGTCAGAGAACCCAGATGAACTAACCTGTCTGCTGTCACTCCCACACCTTTTATCATTTCGTTAGATTGAGTGTGGTGCAGTAAACCTCCTGCTTGTTTCTTGAGTGGGCATATGATCTAACGCATCACTCCCTATACTTTGAAACACGCTGAAGAGTTGATAAGGTCCTTATCTGGAAGAAGCCTGCCCTATCTTGCTAATTATTTGCACTTAAGCTTGCTTCCCCTCTAATTATTGCCACTTAAGGCGGTCATATTACCTGCATGAGCGCGCCTTACTATTTTTTGGGACATGCTTTTGCAATTACTGTGTTCTTGATGAAAACTTCAGGACAGTCATCTCCTTCTATTTCATTACTTCAAAGGAATTTGTTAACTTACATTTTCATGTAATATAAATGAAGATCCAATATATAAAAAATATATGTATACTACATGTACACATTGCTTTGATAGGTGTGAAAAATGACCACTTATATTACATCATGTATCTTTCACCATGTAGACGTACATTATGTATCTATCTATTTATGTATGTATATAAATTCAGATTGCGACGAAAACAATATAAGTACTAACATTTTAATTTTTTCTCGTGTCTATTTACCATATACGTATATCTAAATCCAGATTGCAGGAAAAATCAACAACGTAATTAAAGAGTTGGGACTTCGAGAAGTTGGACAACTTGAGCAAGACCTTGTGTTTGGAGATGCAGGAACGAAAGAAATAATCGAGTTCTTAAGGAAAAATCAGGTGAATGATGAATTTGTTTTTTGAAGAATTTGTTTTTTTTTTGGGGGTGGGGGGGGGGGGGGG